GACCTCCCAATCTTGATAGAGTCAATGAGCGACTTATCTGGGATGAAATGCGCAGGTCTTCCATACACAACAAAGTCTGTATAGTAGGCGACTTTAACCTTGGCCAAATAGATTGGACTGACCTTACGGGTAACTCAGAATCAGAGGATTTTCTTGAGACGATCCAGGACTGTTTCCTAGGTCAACATATAACCGAACCCACACGGGGTAATAATATACTCGATTTAGTTCTGTCGAACAGAGAAAACCTAATTAGCAATGTCGAGGTAGGGAACAAACTTGCAAACAGTGATCACAAAGAAATTAGATTCCAGTTAGATTTTCAGGGCAGATGTAAGGAAAATTCCACTAAAGTACCAGATTTCAGAAGGGCAAACTTTGACAGCTTAAAGAGGCAGCTGAGAGAGGGGGTGTCGCGCTTGGCCGCGAACCTGACAGATGACTCAGACCTGATAACGAGATCTGAGATTGCCGAGTTCCACGACAATTTAAATAATGAGTTACTTAATGCACAAAGGCAGAACATACCATACAAAAAACTCAGATCAGACAACAATGACCCTATATGGATAAATAATTATTTAAAGAACATCATTGGCCAAAGGAAGGCTATAGGTAGAAGGATAAAGCGTGGCGAAATTTACCTCCAGGATTATTATAAGATATTGGCGAGTAGGGTTAAAACCGAGATAAGGAAAGCCAAGAGGAATAATGAGGTAAGGATAGCAAGGGAGGCGAAGACAAACCCCAAAGGATTCTACCAAAAGTATCAAACTAAAACACGAGAAAAGATTGGACCAATACGGTCAGACACCGGCGAGCTCACTGATAACGACGGAGAAATGAGCAATAATTTGAATAAATATTTTTCAACAGTTTTCACCACTGAAAATTTAAACATGATACCCGAGGCACCTCAGCTACTTTGAGAGATTGGAGCGCCTGAACTTGCCTAGCTTATACTATAGACAGGCAAGGGATGACCTAATTGAGGTGTATAAGCATCTCAAGGGGCACTACTCAGTCGAGTGTTCTTACTTGGAGCTGGCAGACGCTCGCCCCACAAGGGGTCACAGCTCAAGATTGAAAAAGCCGCAAGTCCAGAAAACTGTGAGGGAAACTTTTTCGGAGCTAGAGTTGTGAACTCTTGGAACAATCTACCAGAAAGTGTTGTGACGGCACCGAGTGTGAGCTCTTTCAAGACAAGACTTTACCAACACTGGAGCAGGTTCAGGTACATTCAGGAGCCGGTGCATGCCCAGTACTTGCCTACAGTGTGTAACAGAGACGTGACTGATCGCCCAAGCTGCTAAAGAGTCGATCATTTGGTGAACAGGATAAAAGAAAAGAAAAGTAACAGAGACGTGACTGATCGCCCAAGCGGCTAACGAGCCGATCAGTGGTGAAGAGGATAAAAGCGAATTAGACAATACATTACCAATATCTTCCCAGGTGGTAGTTGCAGACACATAGCCTTAATCACAATAATCTTTAGGTTTAGTTAACTTTGAAGCCTACTGAAATGTCTTATTTGTATCATCTTTTCATATTTGTATGTTGTATTGGTATATGAATGTTATATTATCTTGTCTTATTTGTAATAAAGTGTGACGTGAGAGAGCAAAAAAATTTCTTTCTTTTTTTATCCATGATAAAAAACGAATCAGAATCACGTCTCAGTTTTAAAACATTATTCAACTTAACTTAAAAATAACAATTAAAATGCTGCCCGGTGTTATCCCCACCAACGCTTACACAGTTACCCCACGCAATGTTATACTGTACTAAGGTTTTGTAGTGGATTTCTCCCCTACAAACGCTGTTTGTCGCTGAGTAGCCGACCCCACGAATTCTCCAGTGGATGCCGCGTGGTCTAGGTCAACCAGCGCCGCCTTACATGACGGAGGTCAACTACTAAGCCACGCCTACCTCCGCTATTTAAGACCTGACCTCGTGGTGACCGCTCTCTTTTCTACCTACACCAACCAGCAAGCAACATCACCTCCTCCGCCGCTGCCTGGCGGCCCTCGCTCCCGCCGGCGAGCATGGCGACCCACAAGCTGTCCTCCTCTGAGCATCCTCACCAACCAGTTCTCTCTACATCACTCTTGTAACCACGCTGCCACTTCCCAGCACCAAGCTGCATTGTACATCCAATACAACATGTATACAGAGAGCACATTGTGAGTTTCCTTTCTCTATCCCATCCTGAGTGTGAACCAAAGAACCTGTTCCCCACAGTTTCATCCATTTTCTTAAAAAAATTTTCAGCTTGAGAAGATATTAGTAATATCTTCCCAGGCGGGACTACCTCCCTAGCTGCCTACTACCTGGTTAGGAATGGGTCAAGGCCTCAAGGGTCATTGTACACTGGCGCATGTTCAGTTACATAGTTTTAGTTTAACAAATTTATTGACAAAGCTTGTAGTACAGTTTGCCTATTCTCTACATCACGCTTGTAACCACGCTGCCACTTCCCAGCACCAAGCTGCATTGTACATCCAATATAACATGTATACAGAGAGCACATTATGAGTTTCCTTTCTCCATCCCATCCTGAGTCTTGAACCCAAACATCCCATACCCCACCAATGGTGACCCCTGGAGATTCGCACTCACACAGGATGGAGGAGAAACCGATCACGCTCCCAGTCTTCAAGCAACATGGAAGACTGGCTTATCCACACAGAGGCAGCTCTCATCGGCTCTACAGCTACTGTCTCTACACCGCAGGTTAGACACCCTAGAGCAGCTCTGCTACTCTAAGCAGACAGCCCCAAGCACCACGTCCTACCGACCCCAACACACCCGTCCTGCCTCAGACGCCGCCCGGCCCAGCAGTATCCCTGCCGCGGCCCCTGCTCCTGACGCGGACCCACACACCCCTCTTTTCTCCCTCAGGTATCCCCTGCTACTGTCCTGCACCCACCCTGCTGCTGTCGTGGACCCAGCTGCTGTCACGAGCCCTCATCCGCTTCTGCTGACGCAGCCCCTGCTCCTGACCCAGGCTCACACACCCCAGCAGGCGCATCTGATGACCCTGTGCCTGTCGCGAGGAAAACACAACATTCATCACCTCCACAACCCTCTTTCTCCCTCTCTTCTCCCACAGATCTTGTGTGTATAGACAGTTGCCTCCACTAGCGGCCGGCTCATCCACGCCATCGCCGTTATGGCTCACATGTGGCATGCACCGCCCGTTCTGCCTCACATGTGCCATGCAACCCTGCAGACAACAAGTCTCCTACACCGCCTGGAGGAAAGGGGGGAGTATTGTAGTGGATTTCTCCCCTACAAACGCTGTTTATCGCTGAGTAGCCGACCCCGCGAATTCCCCAGTGTATGCCTCGTGGTCTGGGTCAACCAGCGCCGCCATACATCACGGAGGTCAACTACTAAGCCACGCCTACCCCCGCTATTTAAGACCTGACCTCGTGGTGACCTCTCTCTTCTTCTAGCTACAGCCGCAGCAAGCTACACCTCCTCCTTCGCCGCTGCCTGGCGGCCCTCGCTCCCGCCGGCGAGCATGGCGACCCACAAGCTGTCCTCCTCTGAGCATCCTCACCAACCAGCTCTCTCTACACCACGCTTGTAACCACGCTGCCACTTCCCAGCACCAAGCTGCATTGTACATCCAATACAACATGTATACAGAGAGCACATTGTGAGTTTCCTTTCTCCATCCCATCCTGAGTGTGAACCCAGATATCCCGTACCCCACAGTATCACTTATCACTGCCACGCAGAACAGACGTTCATACACAAAGAAATACAACATATTCATTAACAGCTATATATATATATATATATATATATATATATATATATATATATATATATATATATATATATATATATATATATATATATATATATATAGGTCAGATTCATGTGGGTAATGTCACTGTTCACTGCCATGCAGGACAGGTTCGTACATAAAGAAATGCATCATATTCATTGACACTATATATAGGTCAGATTCATGTGGGTAATGTCACTGTTCACTGCCAACAGTGTGCTACAGATAGTGGTTGCAAACTCGCAACCTTTGAACGCTAGAGCAGAGTTGCCAACTTAGCGACTTTGTAGCTAGATCTAGAGCTTTTTGTTTTTTTCTAGCGACATTTTAGAGCGATTTGCGACTTGTCGCAAATCTAGAGATATCCACAGAAATCTAGCGACTTTCTGGATACTTTTGGACTGTCCATGAAAACTCAGTTTTCCTAATTTCGAGCCATAATATATAGCAACGGGGTTACAGGGACAATAAATAATAAGAAAAGTTTAATACATTTGAACGGGTCGTGGTACAGAAGGAGGGACACGTCTATTTCCTGATCACTTGATGTCAGCCCGTCCATGCATCTAACACCCTAAAATTGTGGTCAGAAGTGGCAAATTACAGAGATGCGACAGGTGAAAACCCTTACCATGATCTGGCTGAAATTGCACTCGCTGCCTTATCTCTTCCGCATTCAAACGCAGATGTAGAGCGCACATTTAGTAATATGAACTTTGTGAAATCAAAATTGCGCAACAAAATGAAACTATCGACATTAAAGGCAATTCTTACAATAAAGTATGGGTTAAAAAGATAGAACACATGTTGTGCAAGTTATGAACTTCCTAGTGATATTTTAAGAAAGATAGGGACTGTGGAGGCATACAGTTACAAGAGAACCTGAACCAAGCACTTCACATGCTTCCAGCTCTACAGTTGTTCACACTGCCGACGACTACGAAGAGGACTGGGATGCAATTACTATTGAATAATAGGTAAGTGTGCACATTAAACTTTAAAAAATATAATATTTTTATTTTTACATAATGCATTTTATTTATACTCCGTCCATTATAGTCGGCATTATGAAAATATTATTTGCATCAAATTACTGAAGGGGGGGAATAATAGCTAGCAGCTTTCCATGGAAGATTTAGCGACATTTAGCTACTTTTAGGTACCAGCCTAGCGACATTTGAAAATCTGAGTTGGCAACTCTGTGCGTAGAGAAGTTCAGTCGCTGAATGTGGTTGCTGTCATAATATAAGAAGTTTTGGTGTTATATTCAAAGGAATAATTTTGTCTATCCCAGAGTAGACGTCATATGGCAATAATGGTAAGTTTATTTCATAACTATTTAAATAGCAATTTGTATATTGTTACATAGGTAAAGGTGGAAGAGACGGTTAGCACCAGAAAGAACCTCTGGAATTGCACCAAAATTACTGGTGGTGTTATTTGCATTGATAAGAAAAGATAAATTTTCACTTGTTGCTACCATGCGAAATCTGGTCAATTTATAGTAGTGCACCGTTCGGTAAATTTGCATTAGTGCACACAATTCTGTTAGAAAGTCAAAACTATGTTTTTCTAGTGTATTTTTGGTAAATTTGCAGTCACAGCGCACTCTGTTAGAAAATAAAAAATATACTTTTCTAGTGTATTTGTATGTGTTTAGACCGAATATGACCTTCATTTCTGGCGGAAATTAGCCGTTTTTTTTTCGATTTTTTTTTCGTTGGACGTTTTCCGAAAAAAATCATGGCAAAATGCACCAAAAAACACTAGAAAAACAAAAACCAAACCTAACCTAAGCTAGCTTAACCTAACTGACTCTCACCATATGATGGAATCACCTATTTCTTACCTTATTGGCCTGGTTCTTGTTCCTCGTTGCATTCTGGGATTCTTACACAACACCACATATGTTGGTCTTTGCGATATTTACATTCAGTCTTGCTCTTAGTACACTTTACTGAGGTTGGAAGAACACCATGCGATCAAAAAAATGCTATAGTTTCTAATTTTTTTTTTCCAAAAACTCGCAATCAGCTCCATATAGGCTACTTTAAGTGACACCCATTGCAGACTTCCATGGTCAGAACTGAACTTGAATTTCAAAATATGAGAGACCCAAAATAAAACTCGAATTTGATTGGGCCAAATATACTGCGAATTAAACCCCAGATCATTTTAAATGGTTCCAAAAGCAAAAACTCTTTTGATTGGCTCCGTGACGTGTACGGGAACGCATGCGCGTGATGATTTATAAAGTAGACATGCAGTGTTGGAGGTGAGGCAGGCGATAATGGAGGAGGATTAATGGAAGAAAATAAGAGAAAATTTTGGATATGCTATCTCCGTTATTATACATTTCCGCCGGTAATGTAATAGCTGAAAATTATCTTATAATTAGACGACTTATTCGAATATGGTAATAGTTTAGTGGTAGGAATGAACGGTGTGTAAACGCAATAATACCAAATAATGGCGAAGCGAATAAAAAATACACCAAGAAACACTAGAAAAACAAAAACCCAACCTAACCTAACCTAACTGATTCTCACCATATGATGGAATCACTTATTTCTTACCTTATTGGCCTGGTTCTTGTTCGTCGTTGGATTCTGATATTCTTACACAACGCCACATATGTTGGTCTGTGCGATATTTACATTCAGTCTTGCACTTATGACACGACTGAAGAACACCATGCGATCAAAAAAAATGCTATAATTTCTTCATTTTTTTTCCAAAAACTTGCAATCAGCTCCATATAATTCAAGTGACAACCATCGCAGACTTCCATGGTGGGAAATGAATATGAATTTGGAAATATGAGAGACCCAAAATAAAAATCGATTTTGATTGGGCCAAAAATACCGCGAATTAAACCACAAATCATTTTAATTGGTTGCAAAAAAAAAACGCTTTTGATTGGTCGCGTGACGTGTATGGGAACGCGTGCGCGTGATGATCTATGAAGGAGACTCACAGTGTGAGAGGTGAGGCAGGCGATAATGGCGCAAGATTAATGGAAGAAAATAGAGAAAATTTTGGATACGCTTTCTCCGTTATTATACATTTCCGCCGGTAATGAAATAGATGAAAATTATCTTATAATTAGACGTCTTATTCGAATATGATAATAGATTAGTGGTAGGAATGTGTGGTGTGTAAATGCAAAAATACCGTATTTTTGTTTGTTTTTATTGGTTTTGACCTTGATTAACGTCAGAAATTACCTGTTTTTAGTTATCAGGGGCTTAGAGTGGGGGCATTTTCCGACAAAAATTATGGCCAAGCGAATACAAAATACACAAAAAAAAACACTAGAAAAACAGGCATATAAACCTAACCTAACAGAACCGATAATATTTTACTTAAGGACATAGCACCCACGAAAGTTATAAATGACCGAAACATTTAGATCTCGCTATTCTGAACATTTTGAACCCCTATATATACATGGCAGAAATGGATAATAGTGACACAATTGAATTTAATTGATTTTAAGTAGTTTTCAGTCTTCATCTCTGAGGAGATGTTATCTGTGCATCATGCATGCACAGTGTTGACTGATGTCATCCAGTCGTGACCAATGAGGTATCGATATCCTCACAAAAAAAAATTTCGACCTGGGAATGATTTTAATTTCATTGACCAGTTTCACAATGGCCGTGGTGGAGGTTGGTTTTCGTTTGTGCTCCTACGATTATATAAAGTTTATTGCCTAGTTTTACGAGAAAGACGATCATGCTATCCAATTCTTATGTATCCCTGGTCCTTCCACTTCTAAACTAACGTATTGTACTTTCGGACATGGCGCGCCCTAGAGTTTTTAACTACTGAAACAATTAGGTTAGTTTAAGCTAGGCCTACCGGGGACGTAGCCCCAGGCTAGGGGTCAGGTTAGGCCTATATGGGGTCTGGGGGTTAGGTTAGTTAGGTTAGGTTTTGTTATTACACTTAGGACACTTTACTGAGGTCGGGAGAACACCATGAGATCTTAAAAATTATATAGCTTGTTCATTTTTTCCACAAAACGTGCAATCAACTCCATGTAATTGAAGTGACTCCCATCTCAGACTTCCATGGTCGGAAATGAATTTGAATCTAAAAATATGAGACCCAAAATAAAATTTGAATCTGATTGGTCCAAAAATATCGCGAATTAAACCAGAAATCATTTTAATTGGTGGCAAAAAAAAGAAAGCTTTTGATTGGCCGCATGACGTGTACGGGAACGCATGAGCGTGACGATTTATGAAGGGAACATGCAGAGTGGTAGGTCGGGTAGGCGATAATGGAGGAAGGTTAATGGAAGAAAATAGAGAAAGACTTTGGATACGCTATCTCCGTTATTACCGGTATACGTTTGCGACGGTAATGTAATAAGAGAAAATTATCTTAAAATTAGACGTCTTTTTCGAATATGGCTCTTCTTCTGTCCAGCTGTTAGATAGGGTGGTATCAAAGGCATTTCGTCTTATTAATTCTCCTCCTTTAGTTGACAATCTTTCTTCCCTTTCTCTTCGCCGCAATGTTGCTTCACTGTCTCTTTTACAGGTACTTTAACGGGCAATGTTCGGTGGATTTGGCACCCTGTGTACCGTCGGCAAGGCCGTGGGCTTGTAACCCTCGTCTTGCCCGCGGTGCCCACCGTTTCTCTGTTGACGTCGGTTACACGAGAATAACCCGTTATTGTACCTCCTTCTTTCCTCACACAGCCAAACTGTGGAATGCTCTGCCTACTTCTGTGTTTCCACACTCATGCAATCTGTTTCACTTTAAATAGCTGGTTTTCCAGCATTTTCGTGGTAAAGATTAATATAACCTTTTTCTTTTCTATTTTTAATTTATTTTTACTCTTATTTTTTTGCTCCTTAGGCCCTGATGTGGGTCGATGACATGTGCCCGGGTGGGCTATTCCCCGTAAAAAATAAATAAATAAATACCTGTAAAATAAAAAATAAAAATAAATAAATATTTAAAAACCTAACCTAACCTTCATTTCCGATGAAAATATCATAGAAGAATTGTCTAAACATTCGGAAAAAAAAAACATTTCTAACACCAAGAGGTAAACTGTGCACTAATATAAAAAGACCCAAAATCGAAATTGTAATGATGTTTTTCCGATGTTTTTGGGGTTATTAGTGACGACTGACCCACAGTCAATTTTGCATAGAAAACGATTATAAAAGTGCCGCAATTTCAGTGTTTTATAGTGGACACTGCCTTAGTTTGTGCAAATGTGTTTTAAAAGTGGTTATTTCTAAATTAAACCTAACCTAACCAAACAAACATACCTAACCTTACCTAGTTTCTAACCAGACCCCCCCCAGTATATTACAAAGAAAGAACTTACGGTAAATTTATAGAATAGCACCGTTCTTTCTTTGGATATTAAAAATATGTTTTTCCTACTGTTTTTGAAGAGTTTTGAACAAATTTGATACTCATTTTCTCTGGAAATCACTCATATTTGAGATACAACCCCCTCCCCCAAACAAGGGAAGATGTTGGGAAACTGGAGTTTTTTGTTGGGTATATCACAGAAACAGGTGATTTCCAATGGAGAACAAGGCAAAAAAAAATTAAAGCTCATCAAAAACAATAGGAAAAAATATATTTCTAATTCAGAAAGAAATGTAACCTAACTTAACCTGCCAAATGTAACTTCACCTAACATAACTTAACCTGGACCCCTCTTTCTTCATGCCCCCACATCTTACCTTAAGCCCTACGCCCTGGTTGACGTTCTGGAACGTCTATCTAGGTTGATGTTCTGGAACGCGTGCCTTTTCGCGGCATTGTTTGAATGCCCAGCGTGGGTTATCAGGCTTCAGCCTGACTATTTGCGTGTCATGCCACACGCTCGGCCACAGGGAAGCTTCTGGAATGTAAGTACAGCTCCTCCCTGACTTATGACCTACTTGACTTGAGACCTGCCTCAGTCTTACCAAAATTTTGTCAAATTACGTATTTTTGAGTCCCAACGTCAGTGATTGCGCTGTGTACGGACAAAATTGTCGTTTGTAATTCCCTTTGAAATGGCTGGCAAGCTTAAAAGTGAGAGTTTTGTGGTGCTGAGAAGAAAAAGAGACACCCATTTTAGATTTTCTATGTATTATTTAAGCATTTTCGACTTACGACCATTTCGACTTAAGACCTGGATTTGGGTCCCTAACCCCATCGCGAGTCGGGGAGGAGCTGTACTGTACCTACTTTTGCTTGTTTCATTTTCATTGTTTTTCTATTTTATCATGTTGTATCAAAGTAATATTGCTAAAAGTAGTATAGTTTTATTGTAGTGTAGTATTACTGGAAAAT